TTTGTATTCCCACATGGCCCTGTGACTGTCCTGCAGATAAGGAAGCAGGAACAACCAGGGTTACCCGGGGTTCAGCAAGTAATGAAAAACAAACTGCCAGAGAGAGGACGGACTCAAACAGCACAAACAGCCACATCCTGAACCTGAAATGTTTCCTCACACTTTCATCTCGGAGTCACCTCTGACCTGCACAAACTGCTTTGATATTGTTGTGAGAAGTGCATAGTTCAAGACTCTAAAGTGACTTTTTCAATCACGGGTGTCATCCCACTCGGCACTGGACCGAGCTTCTCTGGGGCTCTGAAGAGGACTTCACAACCCAAATCCCCCAAATGTAGGATTGCGCAGCCCAGTCACCAAGAAAATGTTTGCATTTTACATTTCTGCAAACCTGTTAGATTTTTATGTATCACATCAATGTTTCTAAAGTGACGCAGTATATGAGCTGACTTTGTCTTCTGGAGGCTCCAGACCACCATTCAAGACTAACATAGATCAAAGCTGATGTGTTTTAATGAGTCATTGCTGTGTTTCCAGCGGCTTTTTACCAACGTCATGGCTGTTCTTCCATGGAGACATCACTGTATTTCCTGCCAGGATAGTGCCAACAAAAGCAGTTGTTATTTAGCAAGTCATCACTTTGTTTACATTGGTTTTTACTCACATAACATGGTTGATTTTTAGCAACCCATTGTTGAGTTTCCAGCCAGGATAGTGCCATGAAAATCAGGTTGTATTGCGATTGTATTTGCTGCATAATAACCTGCAAATTTAACGTATCTTTTATCTGCAGAAACATACAATATCAAGCTTTTTCCAGCTGACTGGGTTGAATCGAGAAGAGAAAATTAAAGCCTGCCAGCTCATCATTTGCAGGTCTGGTCTTGGGCAGGATGAAGAAGAAATTTATCTCTACATCTACTCACTAAAATCTCACAAAACAGTGTTTGTACAAGTTCTGATTAGAGAAAAGAAGAGGTGAAAAGACTCAAATGTATCTTCAATAATTCACACAAGCTCACAGTTGTACAGATTCTGCATTAAAGAAAATACTTTCTAGAGGCCTGAAAAGGGGAAGAGTAGTAGGAAGGGTTAGAAAAAAGCAGAAACATGTCATTTTCTGTAGTATAAGTGTGTTTTATCTTCATTCTTATCTTGTTGAGACCCCTGTGATCTATCATGTGACCCGTTGGAGAGGTCCCAACCATCAGGTGGGAGCCGCTGGCCTGATGGATATTTAGTTTCTCTTCCAGATCAGTGGTTTAAATTATTGGCTAAATGGAGTAATTGAATATTTGTGAAACAGATTTATTCAGTGTGTTCAGTACATAGCTGGAATCATGAGGTGATTAGCTGGGCCTAGCATAAAGACTGAAAGCTAGGGGAAACTGATAGCATGGTTCTGTCTGAGGTTCAAAATAATAACAGTAATGTAGGATGTATATTTTCAAACCAGCTCTAAACATAGGGATCAGAGACCAGCTGGGCTCTGTGGGAAACATCAGGAACCACGACTCAGCGGCTCACACTCATGTTACACACACACACACACGCACATGTCAGGACGTCTGTCAGCATCACGTTTTGACGCAGTGAGGCACATCATCATGTGTCAACCTGAATCCATCATGTGCTTCAGTCATGTGGAAGCACATGATGGAGGACCAGCTGCAGCTCGTCCTCAGGCAAAAATCTGAGGAAGAGCTGCGGTCGGTTTAAACGTCACTAATACATTTGAAGGGAGCTGTGATTCCATTGTGCGGTTAAACATCGAAATCCACCCTAAAATCAACCTAAACCTGATTGTAACCCGGTCTGAATTTTCTAACAGTCCTTTTTTAAACCTTTTCTTTACTGGGCCTGTGGCTAAGGTGATTCTGTGGTTGCACAATGACAGGTGTCACACTGGTAGGATGTTGTTTGTGGGAATGGTTTGAAATAAAAGATTTTTGGAGCACTGTCATCAGGCATGCACCATGTTCAGGCAGACAATGCTATTTGCTACAGGCTCAGTCAGTTGCTTGGTTTTTGATTGCAGTTTGGTTTAGGCAGAAACGGTTACGCTACCTCGTTAGTTGCGCTATGTGAAGTCAAAATAGTATTCAACATGACCTCAAGTGTTTGAATACCCTGTGGTGCATTTGCTTACGACAGTGTGGGCTCCCGTGGCCCAAAGTCAGTACCAAACAAAGTCCTCACTTTGAAAAAATGTCCTCTTTCTTAACTGTCTTGAACTGGTCCTCACAAAAATTACCGTACAAGAGTGCACACACACACACACACACACACACACACACACACATGCCTGTACTTATATCTTTGGCCCATGACCCTAACTGTACCCATCACATCTAAATGTCCCTAACCTTGACCTAATTCTAACCAGGACCTTTAAACAAAGTCTTGACCTTTTAACAGGCCAAAATGTCCACACTTATAAAGAAATGTCCTCTCGCTGTTGTTAAAAAGCACATTTTGGTCCTCACTATGTAGCAAGTACAAGTGAAAACACACACACACACACACACACACACACCCACACACACACACACACACCCACACCTGCCCTGACCTCTGCAGGACCAGCTGGAGAGGAAAAACAAATAGTCTCTTCCAAGAACTGCTTCTCAGGCTCATAGAGAGAAAGAGACAGTCGGGGGAGGGGCAACTCCATTCAGGTGTACAGCTTATTCACCTTTTTGTTTCCGCTGACATCACTTGTCTTAAAATTTGACTCATAAAAACAAATATTTGTTATGTGTTTGTACTTTCTAAATGTAATTTCCCTTGGAGGCCAAATGCATGGAAGACGGTATGGATGGTCCTTTTCTGCACAAAGAAACACCAAAAAGATTAGATTTTAAAAGGATAAAAGTAAAAAATGTTATATCTATGATAACAAAATTAAGACTTCTTATTAGAATTAAAAGTTTTAGCAGTTGAAATCATGAAAAAATAAATCAGGTTCAGACCAAATTGCAAGTTTACAACTGAAAATGTGAGTTTTTAAGTCAAAATTAAGATGACTTATTATTACCTGTTATAACTGATCTGACTTGCTTACAGTAATTTTATTTACCATAACTGTTTTTGTCATTTCATATTTTTATTTTTTTTATTTACTCACTCTTTTTTCTTTTTATGGCACAAATGGGCTTTAATACAAACTCCCTCAACATTAACTGCTCGTTAGAATAAAATATTATAGAACACTGTTGAGCAGAGGGTAGATATTCACCTTTGGTTTCACCAGATACAATAAAAACATCACACTGCATCAATACAGAAAGTCACATCATAATAAATCTAAAATAATTAATACAGCATAATACAGCATAGACACAGTGGCAGCAAATAAAAAGATGTGGATGTGACAATGCAGTTGAAAAGACACTGTGGTTTTTGGCAAGGATTATTTCCTGGAGGAAACTTCACGCGTGTAACAGCTGATAAAATACATTAATATTTCATAAAACATTTTTTATTTCTACTGCAGTTGTATTCAACCAAACTGAGGTGTTTACAGTGCCTTTGAATTTCAAGCTAAAACCAGCTGGTGCCTTTATTCTTCTGCTGCTTCTAAAATGGTGTGTTAATTTAGACACCCACAGTTGGTGTTACATAATGGCTGTCTGTCTTCAGAGATGACGGAGAACACTGAAAACACAGTGACGGCTGATTTCATTGTTGTAAATGTCATTAACTACCTCCCTGTTCTGCAAAAAGAGCAGAGCAAATGTCCTTTAAACCCATGGCACGTCTTTGGTCTGTAGCTCCTCATCACACAGAGGTGAATGGATATATATTCACCTTCTTTAGATTTTCACAAGTTTGATCTGCCCACGTTTTCCACCTCGTCACAGCAGAGAGGAGACAGTGAATGTATCAGCAGGTCAGGGCTGACTCCTCAGTGAGGACAATTAAGGACAGAAAGACGTGGAGCTGCTCCAGAAACATTTCTGTCACACCTTTATGGCTAAAGAGTTTTGGTTTTTCACCTGAAGCTGCTCACTCAGACAAACCTGGTTTAAAATCAGTGTTTATATTAAAGGTTTAACTTCAGGTCTGTCGCCTCCTGCTGGCCGCAGCTCCACACTGCAGCCTCACAGAAAGTCCTCTGAATATAATATAATACCATATCTTTGTAATATAAATGTAGATATTCCTTCTATATCTTGTGATTATTTAATACTATTATCGAGTAATAGTTAATACTTTAAATGGTTTAGATGCTTTGGGTTGAGATCTTATGATGTCAACCTTTTAATTTAACCAGTTTCATTTAATTTCCTTTTTAATATTCTCCTATTTTTAAGTAGCTGTTTTGTTTTATTTTTCTGTGTTTGCTTGTTAGTTTTTTGTTTGTCACTATGTTGATTATGATTTTAAAAATGGCCAGCGATTGTTTTGCCTTAGACAGGAAGAGCAATACTTCTTTATCTTTTCTGAGCAGTGGTGAAGTCACATGTTCAGTTTGGGAAACTTTTATTTGCTCATCAAACGCATTTAATATCAACTTAAAGGGATAGATAGGATATTCTGAAGTGGAGTCATATGATGTTCTTTGTACAGTCCTGCCTCGATCAGTTCGTTTGTTTGTGTTATTGTGTGACTTTGGTGAATCTACAATAACACAAACTAACTAACTGATCGAGGCAGCGGTAGACCAGCAGCTGTCGGTGCTGCAGTCTGCTTCTCCAAACTGAGGGCGTGCCAACCTCCATCTACTGTTGATAATACACTGACTATGTTTAAGTACCTCATACAACCCAACTTCAAAAGATCTTAACTATACTATAAGGTCATGATAGACGTTTCAGGTATCTTCAGCTGACAGTGAACGTCATCTGTTCTGATCACCCTTGACAAGATGTTTTGTGCCTTTCTAAAGACACATTTCCTTGTTACTCACTCTGGATCCGCAGGACTTTGTGTGAGATGCATCTTGTTGTGACGCTCTGATGTCCATTATTCAAAGACCTTGGCTTTTCTTCCTCCAGGCCTCCCGAGCTCCAGAAACACTCCCAGCCCCATCGACCCAGACTCCATCCAGGTCCCTGTCGGGTACGAGCCCGACCCGGCCGACCTGGCTCTGTCCAGCGTGCCGGGTCAGGAGATGTTCGACCCGCGCAAACGCAAGTTCTCGGCCGAGGAGCTGAAACCACAGCCCATGATCAAGAAAGCTCGCAAGATCTTCATCCCAGAGGACCTGAAGGTAATTTGGAGTTGGTTCTGACAAGATCAAGGTCTTTTTTTGAATTTTATTTTAAACTCTCAAAAGATTGAAATCATCTCGTTATGCAACACAACCTGATTTCCTGCCTGCATTGTTATGTCATAACCTTGACTCACTTTAAGGGTGAAATTGTGTTCCAACCTTCCAGTAAAAACTACACACAATTCAACCCACTGAAATTACAACAGTTCAGGTTCATAAAGCTGAAAAGACATTGATGTTATAAAAGGAACTTTAGTGAATTATTCGGCTAATAAGCGGACCTGGCAACCCTGCAGCTTGTCCTCCTACTACTACTCCATGACTTATGTAATGTATCCGTGGTTTGCAGAAATGTACATTTTCTTCTTTCGACTGCACCGTGCCCCTTTCTGGCGTTTAGAAAGAACTGAGGTTTAAGGCACTAAAGTATTGGCACTGACGCCTCCTTGCTTCAATGCATATCACAAAACCAAAATACTCCTTTTCTAATGCTGCGTTCACGTCATACATGACACCGATATTTGCTCTGTTATCTGCAGCTCAGTGCGATATTATAATGTGTACACAGTGTCTGCATGAAGGGAGAGGTAACAAGGTAGAAGGGTAGAAAGGTTCAAGTTTCAAGTCTAGTTTGTAGAGTTTGACAGAGATCTCTCATCAGTCAGAGACGTCACACTGGAAGATCCTGAGCGGCCGGAGCATTCACATATCTGTGAAAGTCTCAGAGTCGAAACTGACGTGCAGGACCGGTGCTCAGACTGACTGACATGCAGACAGAACCATTAGTGCTGATTATTATCGACTCAGCTTAACCCTGCACAGCATGCTGGAAGAGAACTCGCTGTCTGCTATTGGTCCTGCTCGGGAGAGGGGGGGGGGCGTGTCGTCCTGGTTAAGAGGCTTAAATGAGACTGAATGAGAGAGCAGAGCTGTTTCGTGATCCTGCCACCCGTCTCCTCCGCTGTGAGGTCAGGCTGAGAGGATTTAGCTTTTAATTTGTTCCAATAAAAAGTGGATCTGTTTGTGGCTGCCGTCCAGTGATGAGCGGCTGGGAGCTGATTGTGAACGCAGCTCTGCAGAGGCTTTAGGGAGACGCTGAGGCTCCACACCTCGTCTATAGGAGCTGCATTAAAGCAGCAATGTGTGACGTTTGACCACCAGGGGGCAGAAAGATACCTTTTACTTTTATTTTTAAACAAATGAGAAACATGAAAACCACAATGAAATATTTCCTTATAAATACATATACAGTACGTGAAATAACTTCAGCATGTATCTAATAGTAAACCACAAACTGTGTTTTACAGTGAACATTAGAGGCTGTTAGGTTTACACTTTAACAGAGCCAGGCCATCGTTACGCTAAGCTAACTACATCCCGGGTCCATCCCAAGTCTCATATTTGACATTCCCTCGGCCTCGATCCTCTCTTAAACCAGAAGTGACTCTTTGGCTCCATCTTAAAGGCCCTCACAGAGCTCTTACTCTGCTCTGAGGATCGATGAATGAGCATTAATGAGAGCATGGACATTTATTGGCCAACAGGCTTCCCTGATTAGATCAGTTATTGATTGGATGCTGCAGCTAATCCAACTGATCTGATACATCATAACATCATCTGAGTGTTATACCAGAGTGAAGACAGACAAGAAATTAAACTCGAGGGTTTCACTCCGAAGTTGTATATTTTCTTTTTTTTCTGATTCACCATCCAGTGAAAAATGACTTCTGTTTTTTTTCACAATCTGTTATTTTCCCCCGTTAACATTTATTATGGAGACAATCAAAGTCAGAGAGAGGCTGTCTCATCATTTATTGTCATAATGTCCCCAACAGCACGGACATTTCAGTTACATCATTTCAATTTTCCCTGAAATATTTTGGCCGAATAAATAACTTCAAGTGTTCAAAAGACACCGTAATCATATTCTGGGTTACTGAATAATGAATTTACAGTCCGAATATCAATAAATACAGAGGCAAATAATTTATAAATCATATAAACCATATAAAAGGTTGTTCTTCATGTGCAGAGAGAAAAAACTGCTGCTCTGCCACTGATAACTGTGTGCCCTTATTAATGTCAGCACAGTACGGTGAGAATTTCACGGTACGATAACCTTCTCAGAAAAAATGCGGTGTCATGGTATCACAGAATTTATATTATTATCAGTCAGAATGAGCCTTAAAGGGATAGTGCACCCAAAAATGAAAATTCAGCCATTATCTACTCACCCATATGCCGAGGGAGGCTCAGATGAAGTTTTAGAGTCCTCGCATCACTTGCAGAGATCCAAGGGGAGAGGAGGTAGCAACACAACTCCACCTAATGGAGGCTGACGGCGCCCCAGATTCAAACGTCAAATGTAGCTCTAACTGCCTCTTTGTACACTGAGCTACAGGCTACAATGAGGCTAAAAACAGAGTTCAAATGAGGTTTTTCCAAACAACTTTTTATGTCGGGGCTTCAGGACACTTGGATCACTACAGACGAGCAGTATGGAGATATTTTGTGGTTTCAATTATGTGTTTTTGGACGTTTGAATCTGGGGCGCCGTCAGCCTCCATTAGGTGGAGTTGTGTTGCTACCTCCTCTCCCCTTGGATCTCTGCAAGTGATGTGAGGACTCTAAAACTTCACCTGAGCCTCCCTCGGCATATGGGTGAGTAGATAATGGCTGAATTTTCAGTTTTGGGTGCACTATCCCTTTAAAGGACTGAAAACAGAAAGGTTTGTGTAAAAAGTCTCCCCTTAGAAAATAACTTTTCCAATACCGTAGACAAGCAAATGTACATGGTAAAATAACCATCAACTTTTATTTCACGATATACCTTGAAACTGGTTTATCACTGCAACCCTGCAGCACAGTGCACATGTGTGCAGCTGTCAGAGCTGTGACACCATCATCAGAAATGGACGTCTTTTGAGAGGAAAGGATATTTTCCCAAAACATGTTACCCCGTTTCCTCTCTGCTCGCATGGTTTCCTTGCATGAGGGACTAAGACGCAAGGAAAAGATGCAAGTGAGAGACTTGGGATGCAGCCTCTGATTCCAGCTCTGTGCTGAACAGACTGACAAAACCTTTATATGGGAAAATGTGCCTCAGTTCACCACCTGTGAGTTTGTGTCTCCACTCCTGACTCGTGACTGTTTCTAGTAAATCTTTATTAGATAATACAAAACTTTACTTATCCTGAGGGAAGCTGTTGTGCAGCAGTTGCAGTGAAAAGTAGGAAGAAGTGACACAAAATATAAACTGTGAAGGTTTTCAGTAAGGTAAGCACACAAACTAAAAACTAGCCCAGGTCGTAAAAACAAAAGTCCTCCCTCCTCTTCCATGTTTATCTTTCTTTGAAGTATTCGTCTCCTCTCTCCTCCCTTGTGTCCTTCGAGCAGGATGACAAATACTGGGCCAGGCGCAGGAAGAACAACTTGGCGGCCAAACGGTCCCGGGACGCGAGGCGGCTCAAAGAGAACCAGATCGCCATCCGAGCCGGCTTCCTGGAGAAGGAGAACTCGGCCCTGAGGCAGGAGGTGGCCGAGCTGAGGAAAGAGCTGGGACGCACCAAAAACATCCTGGCCAAGTACGAGGCACAGCACGGGCCGCTGTGAGGACACACAAACACACATATATATATACACATATACATATATATAGACACGTATACACCAACACGCGTTCTGAGATGATGATCCTGCCTCCTCCTGATCCACCAGCGACCCTCCTTTCACACTCCTGATGGCTCCGCTCACGGCAGCTGAAAGGTTTAGATGCAAAAAATGTACTTTTAAATATATTTCAGCTTTTCATCCTGTCTGACATGACGGTGAAGGTTATACTGTGGACCAATCAGTGCACTGTTTATATGAATGTAAACATGGAGGGAGAGAAACGATCCGTCTGGTGTTACTCTGTGTTTCTCAGCAACACTTTGGACCTCCTCTCTGCCGTGACTCCTTCTGTTTGAAAGTGTCCAGCAGTGAGATGTGTGAATTTTGACGTCATTGTTGTGCATAAAAACATGGCGGCATCAATGAAAGGAATCGATAAGCTCAGAGGCAGACGATTCCAATAGATCAGGACCAGTTTGGATTCTTAACTGGAGCCGTGATGAAACAAGTGGGGCGAACAGTTAGTGTTCGGCTACATCCGGCAACAAAAGCAATTTGCGTCAACTCGATCTTTAAAAGGCTGCTAGCTGCTATTGACCTTGCTAGCTAGCTTCCTGCAAGCGTCTGGCGTTATTGAGTGGGTCATTTCATCAGCAGACGTGGAATCCTGTCCCGTCGTCATGCATCTTAAAATTTCAAATATGTGCGTTTGAACAGCCGCCATCTTGCGCCCCGCGAACTGATCATAACAGTAGGTTCCTGCCCAGTCACGGCTGCTCTCAGACCTGTCTCTGTGGCACAGAGGACCAAAACGTCGGGCTGTAGACGCACACACGCAGAGAACTTCGTAGACACATTCACTGTTCGTCTGAAGATGAAGAGAAACACAGAATATCACCAGATTTATATTTTAGATGACAAGAAACAAAGAAGCACAGCACTGAAGATGACTCCGCGGGTTTTATTGTTCATCTCTGGCACCAGATTATTCTCTCTGTCTGAGCCAGGAGTGTTATCAGCGTCTTTATAACATCCCAGCTAACTCCTGTCATCTGTTTCCATGGTAACAGTCACCCAGCAGCTGCTTAAAGCTGCTCCTGAGCGACGGCCGTGAGTTGAGCCCATTATTCAGGATTATTAAACACACACACACACACACACACACACACACACACACGTCTCTTTGTGAATTCTCCTCATGGACTCCTCTTTGGGTCACTAACACTAAACTGCCGCCCCACCTGACATCTAACCTCTGACCCCTCCTCCTCCTCCGCCTCCAGTGTACAATAATGGCACTTTAGAACAACCGATGCCTCGCTCTCTGCCGACCCCTAACCCTCACAGACTCCGCCCCCCCCCCCGAGGTGTGCAGGTCCCACACTGCACCTGTTCACATGTACATACCTGCCTTCGTTCTGCTCCTGATGACTCTGTATATGAATGTGGTCCGCCTCTTGCCGCTCTGCTATTGGTCAATCAGCGTCTCTACTGAAGTCTTTTTGGGGCCCTCAGCAGTATTTTTATGGATATTTATGGACAGTGCAAAGGATGTGATGACTTTAAGATGCACTCACTGATTTTGATATAGTGTCCCAAAATGCCAAAAGAAATGTATAGCTCCCCCCGAAATGTATTTTTTATACCCTCATGATTTGTTATAACCCAAATTTGCCCCTAAAATGTTTTTCTTATAATCATCAAATGTGCTGTAACAACATCAGGGAGTGTATCTGTTCTTACTTTAATCATGACAAGCAGTTCAGAGAGGAACCCAAAGAGAGTCGACACTTTAAGTTTGTTTTAGGGGCCCCTGGTGGCCACCGGCAGCCTCTTAGTCTGGCTCAGGCTCATGTACAGTTTCAGCTCACACTCACAGGTCTGACGATCGGACGCCAACAGACAGACAGGTGGATCTGAGGTGGATCCAGACTGCAGCAACACATTTTCCCTTCAGTTCAGTATCTTCAGTGTTTGTACATCGACTGTATCGACCCGTTTATCTGTTTGTCTCGTTGCGTTGGAGACGAGCTTTATGAACCTTTGTGAATCTTCACTGTCCACGTGTTAAAGTCCTGAGTTTGATGTGACGCAGACGCTGTAGAAATCTCAGCACCGCCGCCTCTCTGCCCGGGAGGAACTGTTGGACACATCACAGTGATGTAGAGATCCAGGTTTCATTCACGGATTTAAAAAAAAAAAACAAAATTCAGAAAAAGTAAAAATTGGATGATCTTATTTGAACAGAATGTCTTGTATGAAGAAGATTATTTCTGTGTGCAAGAAATTTTGTGCAAACAAGCGTAGGTGTAGATTAGTAAAGACATTTACACCATGAATAAATGCAGAAAAGGTAAAAACTTGTTTATTAAAATGAACCAGAATGCAGGAAATCAAGTGTTTGATGCTCAAGATTTTCAGATAGAGGACCCCCACCTAAACAAGTTGTGCACGCAAGATCAGTTTTTGTGCAACTTAAAGTTAATAACTTGTGCTTGTGAAATGATATCTTGTGGAAACAGGATCATAGATTTTATATCTTGTGTGAATAATAACTTCTTCCCTGAAGATTCAAAATTGTGTCTCGCAAGCTCAAATAAATACTTTTTGTGAACAAGGTTGTATCCTTCATGCACAATACAGGATATCTTGTGTGAACAAGATCGTTTATTTTATGTGAGATAATTTATTCAAACATTATTGCGCATTAAAGATAATATCGTATGTGCAAACAAGATAATAACTTGTGTTTGCAAAATAAGAACAAGATCATATTTTGCACGCTCAAGATTGTTTTTGTTCTGTGCGACAGAATGACTTGTGAGCACAAGATATTTTCTTGTGTGTGTGCAATTATCTTCTTTTAATCATCTTTCAGGACCTCAGGGGGCCGCCTCCATATGAAAATTTAATTTGAGTTTCTTGCTCTCATTTTGAAAATGTGAGTCATGTTAGTTACTTTACTGTCCAAACGTCCTGCTGGCACAATCAAAGTATTTCGCTCTCACTGGTCTCGTTAACGGACGGTAGATGTGACTGAAAACAGGATGAGGAGGGCGTGTGCAGAGATTTCTACAGTGCTGAGCTAGTTGGCACAAACTGAACGGTTACCTGACGTGCCAGGTGGTGTCACAGCTGATGTCACACACCCTCATGCAACAGAGACAGTGACGCAGGAAGATGAACGTTGCTGTTTCCAGAACTCTGTTTTTTGGATGTTGTTTGACAGATGAATCTAATGTGTCTGTGTGTTGTGTTGAGGACAAAGTGAAAGCTGATGAACAGCCCACAGTGCGGCTGCAGTCTGCCGTGATACAGGAAAGGAAAAACACAATTTGACACAACCAAGGTCTTCATCTCCAGAAAACAAAAACAAGAGGCAAAAAAAGAAAATGTGATATTTGATTTCTCTCCTTAAAAACACTCTGCTTTTGTCCTGAGAGGTTTTTTATGAGCTCAGACGTTGAAATGTTTCTCAGACGACACAGAGTCAGTTTAAAGACTCGCTGTTGTTTGAACGGGTCTTTTTGAAATTCCTTCAGAAACCAAACGTGTGCAATAGATGGTTCTTCACGGCTTTGGCATGAACTTTTTTTTTCTCTCGCATATTTCCGAAGTGTAGCTGAGAGACGAGTGCGCCCCCCGGTGGCCGAGTGAGACATGAATGTATATTTGAAACACAGTGCGTTGGGTGAGTGTTGTCGTCTTCTACTGTGGAATCACTTTAGTACTCTTTACTACAGACCAAAAGAATACAGTATATAAATGATATATTGATATATATTAAAGGTTTTAATGTTTATACAGAGATATTGTTTTTTTGTACAGTCTGTTTTCCTAAATAGATATTTCCTGTGTATTTTGGAAAGGGTTACATGAATATAAGCAGTATATTACACATATAAGTATATTCAGAAATATTACCAAAACGGCGTGCCCGACCAGTCTGGGCGATGCATGGGCATTACAGAAACCCTCCGAGATCTTTTCCTCCCAGCGTAGTTGAAATACCTCAAACCCTCCATCACACCTGTGCAGGTGCTACATCAGCTGATTCAGCTGGTGGGTTGTTTTTGCACCAGGTACTCCGACACACTCTCCTCCATATATATAAATATATATATATATATATACATATGCTTACGTATGTACAGTTTTTTCATTTGGCCCAGAGGAATGTATTCACCCAACCTGAAGCACTTTTTATTTCTCTTGTTCCGTTTGTTTGCTGTGATTTATCTCTCTACTTCTTCAGAGCCTGTGCAGCTCTCCTCTGTTCGTTCAAAGATATTTTTTCCTATATTTGTCCTTGATTATGTTCTCATGATCAAAATAATAATAAATAAATAAAGGTTCAAATCCAGTCTGTGGCTAGGTTTTGTTCTTGTGTGAAGCAGCTCTGTAGATTACAGTCTGGACTGTTTGATACAAGTCTGGGACAGAAGTTTGCAACAAGAACAATTGAAAATGACAAAGAAATGACCTGGAAGAAGAGCTTAAAGATTATTTTAAAAAATCTGTAACATAATTTTAATAATTTAGTTTTTGCACTTTATTCCCTTGTCTTTTTTTTTTTTTTAATTTCTGAATCTATAAATTTTTTGCAATTTGTTGGACATTTTCCCATGTTTTTCAAAAAAAAATTAAATACTTCAGAAAGACGTCTGGAGGCAGCACAAGAAAACTGATGAGGAAGTTCTTGTGCCAGAGAACGCCTCAAATTACAGTAACACTAAGTACAGAAAACAATTTAATGTTCACAACTAGTAGCAACCAGTGGGTTCCTCAGGTCAGGGTCACTCAGTTTTCTCAGCGTTCTCCTCTGAAGACTCCAGCTCCACTTCCAGGACAGAACCAGCTCTCCTGATGAGCTTATGAAGTCTGTTAGCATCAGCTGTCTTCACCCTGCTGCCCCGGCACATTACAGCAGAGAAGATATCTATTGGTTAGAAGTTTGAACCCTCCTTAGAGTCTCCCTCTCAACACTCACTGGTGATATCTCATATTTAACAGTGATGAAAGTGAGGAAACAAAATGTAGAACAGACAGACATCAGAGTCCCAACATGCAGGAGGATGATGGAGTTTTAAAGATGGCCACTAGATGGCAGCAACTCCCCACAAATAATTCTCATATTTATTTCAAACAGGAAGAAGGAAGACTGAAACTGGTCAGAGTGGAAAATAAAACTCCTTCACTTCCTCTTTCAATCAGCTCCAAAAAATATTTCTGTACGATCTTGAGACAAAAAAAGGTACCCTGCACTAGAATTATCAATAATTAAAATTTGAAAGTACTTGAAACATGTAATTATAATTAAAAAGATATTTGGAATATTCTTACAGCACAGCAGACTGTAATGACTCAATATGCACATTTTCGATTTTGCAAATGCATCAAATCCTAACGTAAAAAAGTGGATTACAATATTTCCCTCTGAGATGTAGTGGAGTAGAAGTAGAAAGCAGCAGAAAAATGATACTCTCAAGTGAAGTACAAATACCTCACTATGGGAGAGGGCCATGGACCGGAAAGTCACATGGAGGGATCTCTGGCAGGCTGAGCCACACCGCATCACCTTCCTGATTCGGGCACTTTATGATGTCCTACCTAGCCCAGCGACCTCCTCACCTGAGGCCAGATATCCTTCTGGTCTCAGAGAGCACCAAGAACATCATCATCACGGAGCTGACAGTGCCATGGGAGGACCACCTGGGGGAGGAAGAGGACCAAATATGAACACCTGGTCATCAACTGCCGAGCACAGGGCTGGAAGGCAAGATGTATGCCATCGAGGTTGGCAGTAGAGGATTTGTGGGGCACTCACTCCACAAAGCCTTTAGCACACTGGGCATCACGGGAACAGCAAGGAACAGAGCCATCAAGAACATCACCGAAGCAGCTGAGAAAGCCTCGAGATGGCTCTGGATCTGGAGATCCGAAGGGCGTCTGAGCAAGGGTGTCTGATGTTGAAAGACCCGAAACACCCAATGACCCCAGGTTACATCACTGATGATGTGTTCAGGTGCATCAGACGATGTATTCAAGAACTACTGAACTGAACCTCCTGAGACCCTACGTCTTCATATGAGGGTGTTACATCTTGGATTGCTGCATTTTATACGTCATTCTGCTTCACTCAGACCTCTTGTCCTCGGTCATGGACACTTCTTTGTGCCATCTAGTGGTAGTAAGAGCACAATACTCTAATCCATGTAAAAACAAGATGGCAACCATCTCTGCCAAGTCAGTCTGCAGCCGATCTCGACACAAAAGCGGACAAGGGACAAAACCTGATCACATTGTACGATTGAATCAAGTTTATTTATGCTTATTAATGTTTGTAGTTTGATATGGAAACAAATTTGACCAATTTTAGCAACAGGAATAAGACACTGTTATTTAGGACGTGCTCGTTTAAGGACATATGGTGTTGTGTCATTGCAGCATTTCACACAGGGACATTAACAGACTGTTGCAATACAAAGCAAGTTTATATTCAGTCAAGTCGTCTATTCACTGCTGATATTTAATGGAACAATCCTGATTTTAGAGGTCTGATTTGAAGTTTGATCAAGCTGTCATTTTATATGTTGACCCTCCTCGAACATGACTTTCTCCAGAGAGCGATGAAATCAGAATTTTAAAAGTATCTGCAGATAAATTAAACTCATCAAAGTGAAGTTAAAATGATCAGGCAGTGAGAACCTCCTGTCTCTGTCATTCCTCTGCTGTCCACCAGATGTCCTCAGAGTCTCTCTGTCAGTCACCTGATTGTGTTTCACTCTGCACACCTGTCCCTCCTCTCTTCACTGAACACACCTGAGCCTCGTTCTGTCCTTCAGACTCACGGCAGCTTCACTTCCTCTCCCTCTGTTAGATGAGACACACTGCAGTGATGCTGTCCCTGCCTCTTAAAGTCTGTCCCCCAGTAAAGTCTGGTTGCTGTCTTTGTACGAGCTCATACTCTGCAGTGTTCATGGTTCTTGCATTAATTTAAAATCAGTATAATTCTGATGACACTCTGCAGATCAAATGTTTGATGTAATGTATTTACACAGAAGGTGAAGGTAACATCACATTTATAAAAGCAGCATTTTCTCTTGCTGTTATTTCTGTATTTTCATTTCTTTATGATCCAGATACGTTTGGGCTTCTTTCCTTTTGTTTTTCTTGTTTGGTCATTTCAGTGTTTCATTGCCCTTCAGAAATAATAAACATAAAATGACCAAAAACAGTGAAACTTGTGAGAAATGGAGGACGGAGGAAAGTTACTGTCGTTCAACTAAAAGTTAATTGCAGTATGCAAAACACGCAGGTCCAAAATTTCAGACAGAGAAGCAACAACTTTGAACAAACTTGTTTTAACAAATACGTTTTTTTTACAAAGCATTCATGAGTTTTGTAAATTTGTTTTTATGCTTTTGTTAAGTGGCGTCACATTTGGCTGATTATGATTTGTTTGACTCGAAACTCAAAATTCAGGACTCGACTCAGGACTCGGTCCCACCTCTGGTAATTTCTTTCTTTTATATTCTAAAAACATCTTTCTAATTGTGTGAAGAAGTGTGATGATACATGAACACATGAGACAAGAGAACATGTTCTGTGACCAGATTAACTCCCAGAGAGAACACGACATGTTCGGCTCTTTTGATTCATGCTGTCTCATATTTTACCCTCTTTAGCACCCCGCTGAGTTGGAATTGTCGTTATGTAATACCATTTTCTCAAAGTGAAAGGGAGCAGATTAGGATATTCTGCTAATCCCACAAGCTCACGGTGTCACACGGTGACAGCAGAGGAGTTTTTAGTGCTGCTTTAAAATCTGGGAGAACATGAAATGTACAAAAGTGTGAAAGAACAGCCTGGCAGTATGTAATGAAGTCCTGACGCACCAGGACATGTTGGAGTCATTTTCCTCTTTAATGACTGGAGCTAAATGTGTTTTATTCCCTTGCAGGTTTTCAGTAAATGCAGAAAATAACAAAGCTGACGAGCCTTAAAAGGTTTCACTGCCTGTTTTTACACTTCCTATCTGTTAAAACTTCTTCCTTTAATCAGTCTGTATTGGACACAACTGTTTGGTTTTCAGTTTTTATTCAGTGATTTGCACATTTTTCCATTTACATCGGATAAAATAAAATCTAAATGCACCTTTTCAAAGTTGTGGTCACATACGTCTTCACACAATAACTTTAAAACTTTATTAAACATTATTTGGTAACACTTTACTTGAAGGTATCTACATAAGAGTGACATGACGCTGTCATAGCTATGACATGACACGGTCATGAGCCTGTCATGAACGTTATGTACATGCCATAAATGTTTATGACTTCTGTCATTAAGTGTCATTCAGTTTTTGTAATGACAACTTGACATTAATCAAAGTGACAATACCAGACGTTGTCTTTGTCATGACAAGTTGACGTTAAATTTGTGTGGGATGTCCTTATTATGACAACTTGACATTAACCAGGATGACATTACCAGAGGATGTCTGTCATAACAACTTGACATTAATTCTGGCAACAATTAAATCGTAGGCAACTGGACTTTGATTTTGTCTAGAAGACGTTTCGCCTCTTATCCAAGCGGCTTCATCAGTTCTCAACGCATCAGTCTGACTAGTCCTCACTAGTCTGACAAACAGTGGAGTAAGACTCAGGTTTTTAACCTCTGTGGAGGTGTACACCCACCACCCTCATAAGACAATACTTCGTTAGTGGAGTTTCGCTGGACCATTGTTTGGGTCAGGTGAGTCACACTAGTGAACGACGGTCGTTAGGAGTGGGTGGGGCCACTGGTGAGCAACAGTCGTTAGGCATGATGTGTGGTTACCAGTGAACGACTGTCGCTGTGTTTCTTTGAGCCACTTGAGGTTAGTTTCGGGCAGTCTTTGTTGTTCAGTCTCTTAGGTACAGCAGCAAGGGCCGCATTGTAAATGGAGGATAGTTGGTGTCTCAGGCCAACTCCCCTGTTTAGAGACGGTTTCTCTATTTTAACGTAGATGGATTCTTTCACCCCTCTTTTGAACCATCTGTCCTCTCTGTCCAAGATTTTCACATTGCTGTCCTCAAAGGAGTGAGCCTTCTCCTTTAGATGTAAATAAACAGCAGAAACTGGACCTGAAGAGTTTGCCCTTCTGTGTTGAGCCATGCGCTTGTTTAATGGTTAACCATTAAGAGGGGTGAAAGAATCCATCTACGTTAAAATAGAGAAACCGTCTCTAAACAGGGGAGTTGGCCTGAGACACCAACTATCCCCCATTTACAATGCGGCCCTTGCTGCTGTACCTAAGAGATTGAACAACAAAGACTGCCCGAAACTAACCTCAAGTGGCTCAAAGAAACACAACGACAGTCGTTCACTGGTAACCACACATCATGCCTAACGACTGTTGCTCACCAGTGGCCCCACCCTACTCCTAACGACCGTCGTTCACTAGTGTGACTCACCTGACCCAAACAATGGTCCAGCGAAACTCCACTAACGAAGTATTGTCTTATGAGGGTGGTGGGTGTACACCTCCACTCCACTGTTTGTCAGACTAGTGAGGACTAGTCAGACTGATGCGTTGAGAACTGATGAAGCCGCTTGGATAAGAGGCGAAACGTCTTCTAGACAAAATCAAAGTCCAGTTGCCTACGATTTAATTGTTGCCAGAATGGAATTGACCTGGATAAATGAGAATATCCACAGACTTACAACTTGACATTAACAATCTTTAATCTTATTTTGTGTTTATGACAAGTTGACATAATGATTATTATTGTCATGACAAAGACAACTTCTGGTAATGTCACTTTGATTAATGTCAACTTGTCATAATCAAGACAACCCAAACAATGTCAACTTGTCATTACAAAAACAGAATGACACTTAATGACAGCAGTCATAAAAATTTATGACATGTACATAATGTTTATGACAATATCATGACAGTGTCATGTCACCCTTATGTAGATACCTTCAAGTAAAGTGTTACCCATTATTTTATCTGAAGGAGAGCAGGGCACAACCTGACACGGGGTAAAGTGTAACACAGACTCTTTAAGTGGTGACACAGTTGATCTCAATACTGCCAAACAGTGACCCCCGAAATTGGACGTGTTTCAGCCGATTTGGGCCGAACTGAGCTGTCTGTGTCACTGATATATCATCTTAATAACTGTCTTGTTGCCTAACACATAGCACAGTTTTAGAGGATGATAGAGATGTGTAAGGTTATGCCCCGCCCTCCTGTAATAAAGACAATAAGACGTCAGACGACTTGGTTTGAACCAGACTTTACTAAATGTTCATTTGGGTGTTGAAATCCACTCGATCTGGATATTATCAGCACATAAACGGAAATCAACAGTATGAGCAGCAGCATACAAGAATATTTCAAATTAATCAGTACATCTGTGATAAACTCAACAAGACAAACAACCAGAGACGTTACTCTAAAGAATTATCAGATGAAACTTCCCAGACTCAGGTCACTTCCTGTTGATTTCACCCTGGATGGCTCGTTTTGTGTTTTACATCACCTCTTATATCAGCTAACCAACGTGTCAGTGTGGAGATGTATCTGTCTCTGCAGATCAATAAACAGGAACAGGTTATGACACAAGCTTGTTGCATGTGTCAGTGGACTTGGCATCAGGACAGGTAACTCTGCAACACAGACGTTTGTTGCACTTTACACTGGGCTTTGTTGTTGTTAAATTAAACTCAAACTGAATTTGAATTAAAAATATACTCAAGGTCTGCTAGCCAGGTGTGTTGGTTGTTGACGTTCTGGGACACTGTGTCAGCTTCAGCCTGTTACGTGCATTGTCTATTTTCAAAATACACTTCTGTTGTCACAGGAAATGTACAGCTTGCATACAGTCTCTTTCAAAATAAAAGCCAACTGCCAACTGACATTTTTTCCCTTTAACAACATGCACTTGGGTTTAGGATAAAAGAACATGGTTTGGCTTTACAATCGTAAGGGAACAGGGTGAAAGTCAGTGGTTGTTGGACCCATCCATCCACCCGACTCGGATTGTTCGCCCCTTAACTTTCGTTGTTGTCCATTACACAATAAACAGCTACGTATCATGCCAACGTAAAAGAACAGCTTATTTGTCTGTGTCTGACACCTGAAGTCGCTGTCCAAACACCGGTCTTGGTCGACAGATATGAAGCTGCTGGTACATAAATCTGGTACAAAGCATCTCCTCTCTTTGTACAGCCAAGAGGCCTGAAGAAAATGTTGGCATTGTGTGTTTCTGCAAACCAGGAATACATCACAGTTTCATGTTTCATATCAATGTTTCTAACCTAATGTAATTCTGATTACATATATATCACCTGACTCAGTCATCAGGGGGTGGAGGGAATGGTGGATGGTGTGACTCCTCAACTTTCTCTCATAGAACAGTTCGTATGATATCCAACAAATTTGTGCCTCCTGAATGATTTTATGTCCTGTAACTGTACAAGTTACATAATTAACATAATGTTACGGAGGTTAGGTTTAGGAGAAGAAAGATGGTGAGGATGTACCCTAAATCGACCCAAAGTTCACAAGGATCCAAACATGTGACTCCTGGGGAAAGTTCTGTTTTTTGTGACCCATCCACCACAACCTGCCTGTGCTTGAGACTACGTGTTTGTTTACTGTCGTCAGCGTGTTGGTCACATGATCAGAGCCTTTCAAAACACGTGGGATGTGTATGAATTTGGGTGCATTGCTTTTCATATGAAAACAAAACTGCAGACACTGTTTCAGACCCGCAAACAATAAAACTGCATATTTTGTAGTGGCGTTTCAATGTCAACATTTGTTCTGGTGATTGAGTTGCTTTGTATCACAATAATGGTTTTTGCACATGATCCTTGACAAATAAATGCAACAAACGTGACTTCATGTGTTTTTCCAAAACAAATCTAGTCACACATTAACATCACAAATGTGAATTCAAGCTATTTTCAGTCTATCTGATTTAATTTAAAAGGTTTTTGCACAATTAATGCATGAGCACAGATTTTCGGATTTTGAGCCGAAACAAGTTTGTATTTGACAGTTTACAAACACAACAATACATTCATGTTTTACATCTTTTATGCACAACAGTGGTTTCATTAGTGCTCTATGGTTACAATAATTTTAAGACATTACCAACTGCGTTCACAAGACACCTTGAAGGTGAAGAGTGGAGCCGTTGGTAGATTAACGTTAGCTGTTGCTTTTTGGGTGTTTTCATTCAAACAAGGAACTCGTTTTAAATGTCTGAAAGTCATTAACTGTCAGGAGCTTTTATCAGAAGCACTTTGTGTCTGTGATGGAGTGTCTGACGTTCAGAGAGCCACTCTGTCCCCAGTAGTCTGGATTACTGATGTCTCTGACGGACAAACTGATGGGGTTTGCTCATCCAGGTTTTGGTCAGATCTTGGGTGTTGCGTGCTGCGGTGGTGAGCCCGGTCTCTGAGCCTCATGTAGGCATCAGATGAGCCGTCGGGTCAGGCCTGAACACGACAAAATCTCAGCCTGTTGACAACCTGAAGCTTACATAACCCTCCCCACGGACAAAAAAAAAGCACAGGGCAAAAACAAATACATAATACATGCTCCTAATACTCTGCGGCAGTCACCATATAATCCACAAACATGGAATATGGAGGGGGGTGGATAATTGTGCAATTCATATTATGGATGGGATGCAGCCATTGGTGGCTTGCTCAGCTGGCTGTGTGCTGTTTTTTTTTTTTATGTAAGAGGATTTGTCCCAGTGAGGGCCTCTGTGGAACAAGTCCTCCAAAGACTCGGGGTTGGATCATCTGTCACAGGGTGCCAGAGCCAATGAGCAGAGGGGACGGCTTGACGTGGGAGGCGAGAGTCTTTTTGGGCGAGGAGGATTTGGTCGTTTCAGGAAGGAAGACGGATTAAGCCAGTTTGCCATTTTTGTGCACAGTACAAATGTGGAGAGGTAGAATTATCTGACATTTAGATTCAGTCAGAAAAAAATCTGTATCTGCTCTGTACAGAGACATCCTGACTGTAAAATATATATAAAATTTAGGTCTATAATATCCCCAAATATCCCACCAGCCAAAGCAGCCCAGTCACCAGAAGAAAATATTGGCGTGATGCAAATCACAAATAAGTAACATTCCTACGTATCATATCAACATTTCTAAAGTGACAAACATTTGTAGTATCTGAGCTGACTTTGTCATCAGGAGGAGGAGGGGATGGTGGATGGCATGACATCTTGGAGAGACGCCTGCCCAGCTGCAGACCAACGAACAACAAGATCAGTTGTTTTTTAGCAAGTGTTTCCCACGGCTTTTTGGCCACCAGACTTGAATGTTCTGTTGCTGTTTTCCACCGGGGATAGTGCCACAAAAAGGGACTGTTTTGCTGCATTTTAAGCCAGAATTGTGCAACCAAAACTTTGTATCTTAAGCCAAAACCTGATCTTTTCCTAACCTTAACCAAGTAATGTTTGTGCCCAAACCTACCACATTAACCACAGTGCTGTTGAAACATAAAGAAAGATATTGTTTCAACATATCTGCCACATAAGAGCATACAAACGTAATGTTTCTATGGTTTGCAGAAATGCACAATGCAAACATTTATTTGAGTGACTGGTTTTGCCAAACACAAATACACTTGTTACATCTATTCCCAGGTTGTTTGTGTGTCTATTTATTTGTGTAATTCGATGAAAACACATTTATTCAGAAATGAAAACTTAAATTGGCGGCATGGTGCTGCAGTGGTTAGCATTGTCACCTCACAGCAAGAGAGTTCCTGGTTCAAACCCAAGGTGGGGGTCTGAACCCTGGGGTGGAGGAGCCCTTTTGTGTGGAGTTTGCATGCTCTCCCCGTGTCAGCGTGGGTTTCCTCCAGTTGCTCCAGCTTCCTCCCACAGTCCAAAGACATGTAGGTTAATTAGTGACTCTCCCCCACGACCCCTAACAGAATAAGCAGTTGCAGAAAACAAATGATTGAATGAATGAATGAAAATTTAAATTATACAGGTGTTAGATTTTGAGGACCTTTTCATGAAAAAAATCCCTGACAAGCTTTCAGTTAATCAAATTTCCAGAAACAGAATGACACAAGGTGAAGCTGGGGCTTTACCGGCCCCTGGGGTTCAGGGTCAGGTGTTGTCATAACAGTAACTGGTTACTTCCAGAATTTAGACCCATTATTTCCACTCACTGCTCCAACCTGCCACAGCTAGCACAGTGGACTTAACAGATATCCAGTGACGAAGGAGAAGAGCGGTGCAGAGCGGCAGTTGGTTTTGCAGGAAGACAAAGTAGCGTAGCACAACTGTCGCTGCTAGTTTCAGACAGATGCAGTCGTCATTTCACAGTCAGGTTGTGTAAGAAGCAAATGTACTTGTGCCCATCTGTGTGCCCATTCGTATGTGGGTCTTAAAATGAGGTGTGGGCAGGTGCATTGTTGGCATGTTGCTAATTAGAGGCAGCAAAAAGCAACTGATGCATTAACCAACAAAAACTTACTGGGTGCATTAGTCAGATAGTGAGATGTACCTAAATAGGCAAGTTCACAACACATGTATGCTCGTTACACACACAGGGACACATTTTGTAAAATGTAAACGTAGCAGAGATCAGAGCAGAGCTGCGGAGCTGCTGTTTGACTCCCCATGTGTGCAATTACAGACGAGAAGAAGAAGCAGTGTAACTTCACTGATCATTTCACAAGTTAAAAGTTAACTGCAGTTTTTAGCTTAGCTGCTTAAATGTCCCACAATATCTGCCACAGTGACATCACTGCTCTGACTGCATTGCTCTCAACAGAAAATCGCTTGCTTCTCCAATTCACTGAATCTGCCATGTAAATGCACCATATTAAAAGTAACGGGAGGTGATTTGTGAATTCATGTCATGTCCAAAACACACCTCTGATTAATAAAGAGACTAAATACAACCCCTTCGCCCCTTGAGCCAAACTTTGCATCCAGATTATGCAGCGTTTAATGAGTAACACCCTAACTGCACTTTAGATTATGAGCTGTAGGTTGTTTAAATATGGCCCAGTATCTGTGAAATCATGAGAATACCTTTGATCAGACAGCTGTCTGTGATAGTTCCAGCTGTTGTTACTGACCACAACATCTGTCTTTCTTTAACAGAGTAATATTATTGCTCTGTGTTGTATCCATCATCTGATCCACTGGCACCACTATCCAGTAACACCTCAGTCCCAGTTATCTCAGGTCTCAGACACATTGTGGCCTGTGTTAGTGTTTCTGCAGGTAACACGCAGGTCCTGATGAGGCAGAGTCAAAGTCTAAATATCTCCAGTGTCAGAGCAGATAATTCTACCTCAGTGAGCAGGTTGAAGTCAGACTTGTTGTTGTCTTGTGTCTTGTAAGCCCATATGGGCTGGACAACATCTGGTGCAGGACACTCAAACAAACCAATCAATAAATCGATCAGTGAAGGATGTCCTCTGGTCCTCAGCAGTCTCTTGGTGCAATGTGATCGAGTCCCTCTGAGGGTTCAGGCTGAACATGCAGGCTGTCTACTGGCTGATGGAACTGAAGGGGCTTCTGGGAGTTTTTCAGCAGGTGTGGCCAAGTCCCTGGAAAAACCTGAAAAAAGGACCATACTAATTAACTTTGAACCAAATAACTTTACTTTTGAATTTCAGCCAGTCTGTTTTCATAAAGGTTGATGTCCAAAGTCCATTATTGACTTTAGAAACTGCGCTTGATCAACTACTTTGACCTCGAGGTTCAGCCAAAGCTCTAGAAAACCTATGAAATGTTCGACTGCCGTTTTCAGAGTCAAGAATAAACATGCACAACTGAACAAAACTGATGTAAAGCTTCAGAAAAGGACCTGTTTGAATGTCTTTCTATTATTAGAATAACATATTTAGATGATTGTGCAGCTCTAAATGTTTCTCAATGCTAATGGCATTGCTCTAGGGAATGCAACGTTGATCTGTTGGTCCTCAATTGGTCAGACTTATGTTATGAACAAGACTTAAATATCTCAACAATCATTTGATGGATTGCATGAATTTTGGAGGTATGCATGCTCCCCAGAGGATGAATCCTCCTGACTTTAGTGATCTCCTGACTTTTCATTTAGCACGATCATCAGATCAAAATTCTAATGTTGCCAATACTTTGCTTTGTAAAAATAACCCGCAGAACTCACCAGCCTCGGGTGAATCATTCACCTTGTAACGATATTTAATATTTTTCTCCATATGAGAGAAACAGATGATGTTTCCTTCGTGCTGTTGTGTCTCCGCTGGAGGATTTCCCTCCAAACATCAGCTGAGTTTCTCTTTCAGCTTCTTTTAACACCAGCCAACAAATCTCTGTTAACAGCAACATCTGCTGCCACATGTGTAAACTTTAACCCTCCTCAGAGGCCATCAAAGGGTTAGTCCTACTGTCCAACATACGTCAAAGGGATGAGTGACGAGCATGCATCTGTCCATTCATTCATTATTTGTCTGTCCAGTGAGGGTTTATGTTGTTGGCTAGATTCATCACAGTGATGGAGGGAGGGGGGGAGGGGGGGTCAGGCAGGATTTACAGACTGGTTTGAGACCTTCATGCAGCAGGACGAAGAGCTTAGAGTCTGGGACCTCAGGGTCCAGAGTCTGGGGGGAGGGGAGACACCTCGCCATCCTTCCTTCTGCAGAGTGGTCCGAGCCAGCTAAAATTAATTTTATTAAGTCAGTGTGTTTCCAGATATAGTTCAAAGCTGGTAAGCTGTCACTGAGAGAGGTAATGACAGGAATGTGCAATGTTAACAGTTTGTCTACCAATTGGGTTGGAAATAACTCTTGGACAGATGGAGATGTAATTTTGTACAGATATTCATGGTCCCCAGTCAATGAATCCTAATTTCTTTGTATTGTCCTCTGACGTTTAATGTAGTGCCACTAGCAGGTCAAAATTTTTTTAATTATCCAGCGAAATATTCTATCATCTACGAGATGGACTGACACAAAATATGCTGAAAACATTAATGGAAAGTGATCATTTATCGAGCACCTTTTTTGTGCCAGTGTGAAATGTCTCAATGTCTATTGGATAAACTCAGTCTCCTATAAATTAAATTCACATCCTACCAACATGTTTTGAGGAAAAAGTGATTGCTGCCTCTTTTTTGTTCCATGTATAAATAAAGGAAGTACTCTGTTTGTGTACCTGATAGTGAGGGTACTACTTTGTCTTTACTGCTAATTAGGAAGAGTCTCATTAACATTTATTGAAAAAGAAATGTGAGTCGACACTCACTTTTTTGTTTTGTTTGAGTCTTTGAGACAACTCTGGTTCTTGTTCTGGTAAAGAGTTCATTTTACTCAGCTCAAGCCACGTGTAGCACTGCTTCTCTTTCTCAGACGAGATAAAGATCTCTCTTGAGTTGTTTTGTTTTTCACAATTACAAGATGCAAAGCAAAATTACTCGATCTGGGAGTCAATCGTGAATCTTTTTCACAGCAATAATCTTTTTTCATTTGTTTCCTAATGAGCTCTTGTGTTATTGCTGGCATGAATCTGATGTTATTAGACCTGAAGAGTTTTGTTGAGTTCCACCTGCTGAGGTTAAACTGCAAAGCATCCGGAGACCATGTGCCAGTGGGCGGGGCATTGACGTAGCGCTGCATGTGGACAGCTTTACGTAAATGTTCCACAGAGGTTTAAAGTGATTTACCAGAAATGTTCAGACCATGTTTGAAACACGATGTTTCTTCTGTCAAAGTAATTACCTTCTTGCAGGAAATGTTTCTCAGTTTGGGGCCGAACATGAGCAGCTGTGTTTGGGGCCGCCAAAGCAAATGTGACATTTGGCTTGTTACATGTAGGAAATTAAAGCTGTTGTACGTCAGCCCGTGGATTTTAAACACTGTATCCTCTGACCAGAAATTAAGTTTTCAAGATCACAAAGTGAGGAAATACAAACACTTAAACATCATAAATGATCTGGTACAAGTGATCCATTCCTTTCTGTATTCAATCACTTATGTTTTTAGTAACAGAAAGTAGAGCATCGGACTTTGATACCAAACAGGTGTTCACGTCCCATCAAAGACCTGCAAATATCAGTTTTTATTAATCAGAACATTTCCTTAACATTAACCAAGTGTTTTAGTTGCCTTACCCTAAACATACTTCAGCCATAAAATTCATCAACCCAAGCAGCAGAAGAAAATGTTGGCACAGTACATTCCTGCAGCCAAGGATACATTGCATTTGAATATTTCACGTGTCCTATCAGTGTTTTTTAAACTGTCAAAGTATATGAGCTGACTGTCAGCGGGAGGTGGAGGGGATGGTGGGAAGCCATGTCACCTGGACGAGACGCCTGCCAAGCTGCAGACCACTCTTTAAGACCAACAAACGACACAATCAGTTGTGATTTAGTGAGTCATTGCTACATTTCCAGCAGCTTTTAGGCACCAAATGTGGGTGTTTTGTTGTGACCAATTGCTTTTTTTTCAAGCAGGGATAGTGCCATGCAAAGTGGTTGTGTTTTTACAAAGACATGCTGCATTTCCAGCCAAGATTGTGCCCCCAAAACCGGGCACTAACCATAACCACATGACTTTTGTGCCTAAACATAACCACACGTTAACTACAGGGTTTTTGAAATGTAAAGTTTCAACGCACAGTAACAAGCCTATATTTGGGATCTATATGGGAGAGGCCTTTAATTCCATTTATGCAAAACTGTTGTTCAGCAAAGATGGGAAAATCAATCAAATTGTTTATATGAACCAGTATGAATACGACAGACAGGACATCAGAGAGAGTGAGCATGAGACACTCTTTTTACAGCACTCAAAGATTTCAGTTCCCCGACCTGGTTTCATAAATTAAAAGAACGTCTATAAAAATAAACTGCTTAGCAACCAGACCTGGCTTCTAATTGAGACAGGCCTTCATTTGTCAGAATGTGTGCCTACACCAGGCTAGTAAAGTCTGCAGAAATGTACAATGCCAACATTTTCATAGATATTGTACAAAGCAAGTTCTTGTCTTGCGGCAGGGGTGAGATAAGATACAACCAAACAAGATTTGGATTTTTTTAAGACTCTATAGCCCCTTTTACACTGCCAGATTTTCAGCGAATGTTGGGCCATTTTGCCGGCAAGCTGCGAGCGTTTAGACACACAGAGCCGGATTGGCAAGGTGATCCGCGGTGCCCAATTTTCCACCTCGTAGGGTAGACATATTGGCGGAACCTTTTTGGTTTAAAAAGAATGAGGCACCCTTCTGCCATGGGAGGGGCTGTTGATGACGTTGCAAGTGCGAGCCACTGGCGGTGGATAAACAGGAAACAGCTGATAGCAGGAATTAGCGAGCAGCTAGTAGCAAGAGGGAAACACAAACCTGACAGACACTGTAAAGATGAGCAACTGGGGAGACAAGGAATTGCGCGCCCTCCTTGTCCTCAGCGGCTTCCCTCAGAGTACGTCACTGTTTACGTCACACGCTGAGCTACACGTTTTGTTACTTGCTCACGCCCCCCATTGCCCTGAAAAAGGCACATTCTGTATAAACAAAAGTAGGCAGGTGGCATTTTGCTGCACTCCCTGATTTTGTTTTTATACTGCCAATGCTGAAAAAAGACTGATTGGGCTTTCCTGCAAATTTACAAAAAAATCCTATTTAAAAAGGGCTTCAGTCTTACTGTGATCAGATATTTCCAGATGCAGATCAGAATCTTGTAAATATAATGAGCATTTTCAGGTACTGACAACATTAATACCGATGTATGGAGAAGTTTGGGTTATGTTGTAAATGAAAAATAGGGGTTGTGGAAAAATGGTGGGCATTTCTTAAAGATAGATATTGAACATGTTGATATCTGCACTGCAGTTAAGGTGTCGTACTGGCAACAGTATTAAAATATTTGAAAAGACACTTCAGATATTTGCAGCAGCATGAGTGGAGATTGACAGCTGGACATTTTCCAGTAATTTAAACCATCATGTTGAAGTAAAGGATGAGGACTTCTAGGCTAAATCTGCCATTTTATTTCTACATCTGCAGGAGTTGGTAAACACTATGAATAAATTACAGGAGCAGAACTAGATGAGAACGTGTGTAAAGAATTTTAAAAAGCATATACATTTCATTTGATGCCAACAGATCAGCAACCAACTGCAGCCTGACACTAATTAATCAGGGTTTGATTTGCTGTTAATCTGATTATAACAGAATGGGACCAATCAGCTGTTCAGACCTGCTCAGTGCTGTGGTGATTTGTACTCAGACACATAATAGTAATATTTGATTTCCATGCATTTGCTAATGCATGATGGATTACAGTTGGAACATACAGAACATACAGAACACTGGCACGACATGTTCTGTATGTATGGGATGAACAGATGCCCTTGACACACAATGAACTGTGATATCTGAAAACACACAGATGTTTGCATGCAGGATGATTTAACAGATGTGGTTTGTTTCAGAGAAAAAGCTAATCTCTTTGACTGTACATTTTCATAACAATTTTCATGCCAAAATAGTTTCCCCTCATCCTGTACTTCTGTTCTTGTTTTGGAGCCTCTTTAGCAACCAGAGTGGTAAATACAAGTGTTGAGTTGTTGTTTGTTATGGTCACTGAAGCATGGTGTTCAACAAACAACATTCTGGCACACAAATGTGTGACTTTAACCCGAAAAAGCCCTCTCAAGCTGAAAGATTTTCTTCTCACAACATCTATTGTAAATTCTAAAGCTAAAGCAATTCTAGTCTTCATCTCATCACTGAGAATAAACTGTAAAATAAACAGTTTGGGTAGTGGAGTCCCCAGAATGCAAGAGTCCCCACAATGTCAGTGTGCTCTCTGACACGAGTCCCCACAATGTCAGTGTGTCTTCTGGTATGAGTCCCCACAATTTGAGTTTAAGTCCCCACAATGTCACTTGACGTCCCTACAATGTCAGTGAGCTGTCAAGTTTGGGTTATTGGTGAAACAATTGATAAGTTAATTGACAGAAAATTGAGATAACTGATTTATCATTGAGGTCATTTTTAACAAAAAAGTAAAAAGATAACTAATTTACATTTTGCAAATGTAAGGAATATTTAATGTACCACTGTGAGTCTCATAAAATATTTTTTGCAGATAAATCAATTCATCAGTAATTAAAGTTATCTTTGCATTTTTAATTGTAATTTATTTTTCTTTTCTATATTTAACCTCTTGAGTGTTGCAGCACTTTGCCGTGTCTTTATTCCTCTTAATATGTTTATTGCATGTTTAATGTATGCACCAAAAACCGAAGTAAATCCTGTTAAGTGAAAACTGACTTGGCAATAAATCCATTCCGAATTCTGATTCTGTATTAATGAAAATTAAAAATGATAATTAGTTGCAGACCTCGATTGGGTCCCCAGGATGTGATGTAACCCAGTGACATTTTGGATGGTCACCAGTTAAGTACTAAAAGACACACACACTCTGATTTTGTAATTATTTAACAACACGAGCTTGATAAGAAATAATTGTTAGTAGTCTTTTGTCATTTTGTTGCTAAATGATTGGCAGACCATAACTGGCTGAATAAGTTTATTGTTGTAACAAATTGTTGCTTATGTTTTTGTGCACTTTGAATAACATTAGCTGTGTTTCCATAAATGTGGTTTTATGTACATTTTGAAGTATTGCAGTAGAGACACTTAAAAGCTTAGAAAAATACACAAATAGCAAAATTCAATAAAACTTTTTCTTTACACAGGTTTAAGATGGTTTTTGAGTTGATGTGAAAAATGGAATATGGAAACGCCTTCGCTGAGTAAGTTCTGATGTAGCAAATGTTTAACTTGTATGATTGATCATCTGTTTCCACTGTCTGTGTCTGACTGGATATTCCCATAATGAAATAGCATGTCTTCGTATTTCAACAGCATGAAACATGACCAATACTAACCAACACGAAAGAACAAGTAAAAGTTGCTCAACTGAAACAAATTCCTGAGGACCTTTCTCATAGATGGGTTAGATGGTTGAGGTGGCTTGATAATTTTATGTTTCCTTCAAAGCTTCTTCTCTTAACAGGCGGATTACAGCCATGAGTAAAATGTAGCCTATACCTCCAACTTCTGACAAGACTATGCCTTGGAGAGCTGAATTTCTTTACTCCGAACCAGTTGATGGAAACACACTTTTGGATATGTAAGTTCATTTTCTAAATTATTATAAATGTTTTAAATTCGTTTGCTAACTTGAAGGTGGGGGTTGGGGGTTGGGGGTTGGGGTCGGGTTGTGAAAGGTTTTCTGTGGACCCTTCTGGCTGCTTACCTCCTGCTGATCTGCTCAGCAGCTCTTCAATCTGGGATGTTAAAAAGTAAAAATAAAGAGTCCAGGACTAAAAACATTGAACAAAGTGATACAACAGCACTTCATGGTTGTCCATCTTCCTCCTCCTCCTCCTCCTCCTCAGACCAGAGTACTCCTCTTCTCCCTCTCCCTCTCTCTTTCCCGCTCCCTCTCTCCTCTGTCCCGGCTCAGGTCTGGCGTCGGCAGCTCTCCGTGTCCAGCCGTGTTGTTGGGCTCGTAGCGAGACGAGGCGGGCGAGTTCTGCATGACCACCAGGCGTATGGGCGACTGGCTGGGCGGCGCCGGTGTGTTGTCAGGGGCGTACTCCTTGGTGGGGTCTTTGCCCCGGCAGTCGTACAGGATGCAGGAGATGAGGAAGACCAGGAGCAGGATGACATAGCTGGCAACAAGGATGATGAGGTTGAGGGTGACGGGGTCAATCTCCAGGTAGAATTCCATGAAACCCATGGTGCCGCTTCATATCTCGCCCCAGATCCAGAGACAGAAAGTGATGATGGGGAAATCAACAGAAAGAGAGAGGAGCTGTGGGAAAGAGAAGAGGCAGAAAAAAAGACTGGTGATGTCTGAAGGATGGACAGCTGGCAGGAGAGAGAGAAAGAGCAAAAGACAGCAGAGGATGGTGTCAGAGATGAAATGAGAGGATCAGCTGACAGGAAGAGAGAGAGAGGGGCAGTGACAGCAGGCCAGAGTGGAGATGAAGCTTTGTGCTTTAAAGGACGTTAATCCCTGCTGCTCCTCCAACCTTGAATTTCAGCAGCCAATGATTAAAGCTGCTCAGTTTTAATAACTTAAGCCACCATTTTGATTTTCCCAACTACACAGTGACAAAATGATACTCAGCAAAATGGAGGAAGGCACCCGAACACACACCTGTCAGCTTGCCACGAGCGTCACTTTGGAGATTTTGGGAGTCATGTAATAGGTATTAAACAACTGCTTTATTATGTCACTCTGAGTGATTATTTTTTTTACATTTGAAATCAAATTAGATTAAAAGCACAGAGCGTCACAGAAACAGGCTGCTTGAAACAAGTGATTTTAAGAGTATTGTTGTTAGCATGTTAGAAAATCCCGGTAATGACCGCTGGGTTTTTTTTTTTTTTTTTTACTGGCAGAGCTTCATCCCAGACTGACGACACATCCATCCTGTCTGACTTCCTAATTCATTTGTAGAATAAAGTCAAATATTTGGATGAAAGGTGACCAGAATCACAGTGCTTACTCGAACCTTTAACACAGTTATAGCACATTGTATTTAATATAGAGTTTAGTCAACACTCCAAGTACAAACCACAGAGTAATGACCATGTAGTAATGATTACACCTGATGAGTCGATAGATGGTGTTCTGGGGGATCTCCTCCCAGACCTGGATCAGGGCATCAGTGAGCTCCTGGACAGTCTGTGGTGGTACTTGGCAGTGTCCCACAGGTGCTCAGTTGGATTTAAGTCAGGGGAACAAGAGGGCCAGTCATTGACATCACTGCCTTCATCATCCAGGAACTGCCTACACACTCTGGACACATGAGGCCAGGTCCTGCACCAGGAGGAACCCAGAGCCAACCGCACCAGGAGGAACCCAGGGCCCACTGCACCAGGAGGAACCCAGGGCCCACTGCACCAGGAGGAACCCAGAGCCAACCACACCAAGAGGAACCCAGGGCCTGCCGCACCAGGAGGAACCCTGGGCCAACCGCACCACGAGGAACCCAGAGCCAACCACACCAGGAGGAACCCAGGGCCTACTGCACCAGGAGGAACCCAGGGCTCTCTGCACCAGGAGGAACCCGGGGCCAACCACACCAGGAGGAACCCAGGGCCCACTGCACCAGGAGAAACCCAGGGCCCACTGCACCAGGAGGAACCCAGGGCCCTCTGCACCAGGAGGAACCCAGGGCCCGCTGCACCAGGAGGAACCCAGGGCCCTCTGCACCAGGAGGAACCCAGGGCCCATTGCACCAGGAGGAACCCTTCTTCTCAAAATTACATCTTTTTAAAAACAAATATTGTGACTCTGTTTTTTTCCTGAACAGTGGCTCTAACACGTCTTCATAATTAGATGAGGCTGGAGAGCTTTAAAAGTGAGGCAGAGGAAGACTTGAATAGAATAAATAATGCATCACAGATAAAGACAGCAAACAAGCCCTGATGCAAAGCAGCAGTATGACCTTTGACCTTAGAAAGGTTTCAGCCAGTTGTAATCTGAAGCACTTGGGTCTGAACATAGTCTGGGAGGCTCACTTCAGGTCCTGGGTTAAATCAGCATGTTTTCCCCTGCAAACACAATCTGCTGATGAAGAGGCTTCTTACTGAAGTCTGTATGGATTTGATTAGAAAGAGTAAAGGAGGATTTCTGTAATCTGTATCAAGACCATATGTTTAGTTACTTATCTCAGTGTGCAGGAGGAGGACGCTGAAAAAACATTATTTACATAGCATGAATAAATAAATCTATACAGTGGAGAGAGATCATACAAGTCTTCTTTGTACTTCCTGTTGAGTTCCTTTAGGTGGCGCTCTTTTCTCTGTCTTATCTGCCACGCTGGCTCTCACTGCTCATGCTCACTACTTTCTTCTTCTGTTTATTCATTCAAACCCAGCAGCTGCTTCCTGTTGGAGGGTTCAAACATCAGTAATGCAGAGCTTACAAACATGGTCTGTGAGATCCTGAGCTGCTGCAGCACCACCACAGATCACAGCACTGAATCTATAGACTGTGTATATGATGTCATGTGACCCCATCACCCACATTACAGTGCAGGCGGAGCAGGACGAGGCTCCACATTAAAGCTTGCTGCTGCATGTTGCCTGAATTCATGCTGCATCTGTTTTGCATTATGCATCAGAGCTGCAGCTTCTCGTGTGTCTCAGACAGACTTCGTGTTAAAGCCTCCACTCAAACACAAATCACAATGTTTTCTCGATGCGACCGAAATGAAGAAACAGGTCAACAAGTGAGGCTTGTTACAGAAAGTGCTCAGATTAGAAGTGAATGTCTGCAGACTGTCTGTAAACCTCTCAACCCTGGTCCTGTCTAAATAAAACACAGAAAAATGAAAAGAGGATATCCAGTCCCTTTAAAAAATGTTGTAAAACAACAGAATCAGGAAATACCTTTCAAACCAGGGACACCTAACTACTGTCCTCGACAGCAGATGGCAAGCGCCGGGGGAATAAAAAGGCGGGGTAAAAATAACAGAGCAGGAAATATATAGCAAAAGCGGATATTAGACTTGAGAGAGAGGACACCCAAACAAGCTGGAATGACCTGCTGATGGTATGAGATCAGCCTGACCCACTAAACTGTAAGAGACGCTGTAAACAGCAGCAGACACCTCAGAGAACTGATCTCTGCATCAAGACACAAAGATGATGGTGATGATTCTACAAGTGGCACTGGATGTTGGAGCTGAATGTAAATCATGTGCTGCAGAATAAGAGATTCTGCATTTTCACTTTCTTTAACCAAAACCAGACACTGCTTCTTAAAGTCAAGGATGCTTCTTTCACGTCCGGTCTCACAGAGGCTCAACTCTTCACACTGAACATTTCTGTAAACCATGGATATGTTTCATTTGTGCATTATTTTGTAGATCTCTCAACAATGCAGTCGTGAAGGTGTGGTTAGGTTTAGGCAGGAAACACACTTGGTTATTAGGAATGTATTGACTTAAAACATCCAGGTTTGGTGGCACAAAAGCCGCTGGAAGAGCAGGGACGGGTCAGTTAAACATGCCCAGGTTTGGTGCCATAAACACTGCTGGAAACATTGTGGAGAAAAAATCGGTTTTATTGTTTGTCTTGAACTGTGATCTGCACCTTGGCAGGCATCTTGCCAAGGTCACGCTGTCAACCATCCCCTCCAATGACAGTCAGCTCATATGTACTGCATCAGTGTGAAGAATCACTGCTGTAACGTTGACAGGAAGTGACCACCATGAGACGGCGTATCATCTCTAGTCAACAGCTCTCTGTGCTTCTGATCTGTAACGTTGACAGGAAGTGACCACCATGAGACAACGTATCATCTCTAGTCAACAACTCTCTGTGCTTCTGATCTCTAACAACCACAAAGAGATGGTGAGTGTCAGGTGACACCATCAGACGCCTTGAGTCGATCACTCTACAGTCTTAAAGCATTCTAATAGCAGGTCAGTTTCACCCATTGCCCCTGGTTTCAGTAACTGGATTGCTCATTCATCACCATTTCTCTGAATGTAGGACTCAGTCCTTAGGATCATTTGAAGGATCCTAGACATCAGATAAGTCCTTTGGTGGGATTCAGTGACGTAGCATCCTTAAAATGCAGCCGATGCAAAGATCCTGTCTTTGAGTTTGAGAGGCTCTGGGCTGTTCATGGAAAACAAATGTGATTCTTTTTTTAATATGAGACAGCCTTGGTCACTGCAAGGCCATCCTGCCACAGTGTGTGTGTGTGTGTGTGTGTGTGTGTGTGTGTGTGCAGATGTTTCAGATAAAGTCTGATCGGGAATCAGGCTAATTCCTGGCACAGTCAGGCATGTGCAGAGGGTTTTATTTCCTGCCTGATGGAAGACGGAGAAAACAGACGACAGATGGACCAAAAAACGTATCACATCATCTTGTGAGGAAACTGGGACACTTTTTTTATTTATATATATTCAGCCCCAAAAGAAAACTTACATATTGTGTCCGTTAATTTTCTTTTTCACACACTTTTCTACACACAGTCTGATGTATAACTCTCACTCTGTTGGGATGTGAGTGAGCATACACGTGTATTAAAAGTTAAAGGAATCCGTTGACGTTATGTGAAATGTGTTCTTGCTGTGATTGATATTAGAAGATCAACACCTCTGTCACAACTCTACGTTAAATATAAAGCTAAAGCTAGCAGCTGGTTAGCTTAGCTAGCCTGGTTCACCAAAGTTATTATAATACATCCAGAAGGAAACATGAATATCTGAAGCTAATTTCATGAGCAGTTGTTGAGTGTTCACAGTGAGCCCACAGGCTGCAGAGCATTGTGTTGTTTAAAGGAAGTGAAGTCATTAAGGCTCTCATGAGCAGCCTTCAGTCTTCTTATCACCCACTGAAGGAGCGACAGCGGGCCACGATGGCAGTCAACATGGTGCTGCCATTCTTCTGAAACACAATGTGAGCTTCCTGCGTTGAGGCGGCACCCTCCCACCCGTCTGTCACAGCACCCACCACAAACTGGGACCTCCACGCACACCCTATTATTTCAATACGGCTCTAAATCCATCAGCACGCCAGCAAATGAAAGAAACAGATGCAGAGAAAAAGTTTGAGGGGAAAAAATGGATATTTGACGGATGAAAGGAAGTGCCTCTCCCTGGCTAATGGGGCCTTTCGGGGCCTTCTGGGGCCTCTGTGTCATTGTTGGTCCCACTGGTCTCCTTTAGAGGCTCAAACCAGCTTCTATCACAGGATCTTTCCCACCACAACCCAACTGGAGCTGCTCCGTCTCACAGACAACACACTGAACCACATCGACATCCACCCTGCTGCTCCTTCAGGGTGTGTTGCATTTTAACATCACCATGAAATGTTTGCAATCAATATTTTGTGGTGCAAAGTGCAAACTGAGAGCTCGTATTTTGTAACTTTGACCAGAGGGTGTCCCTGGTCTGAGGATTAGCGTCCAGCATA